TAAAATGGCTTCACCCCAAAGATTATCCGGAGCATCAGAACTAACAAGCATGCTATTCATCATTTCCTTTAAAGTCCTATTTTTTCTTTCCGCTACACCATTTGATTGTGGAGAATATGGCGGAGTTATCTCGTGAATTATGTATTCTTTCTCACAATAATCATTCAACAAAATAAATTCACCCCCTCTATCAGATCTAACTCTTTTGATTTTCTTATCCAATTGATTTTCTACTTCAGATTTATAAATTAAAAACTTATCAAAAGCTTCATCTTTATTTCTCAACAAATAAACTTTTGTATATCTAGAAAAATCGTCTATAAAAGTCACATAATATTTTTTCCCTCCTCTAGTCATAATTTGTTTCAAGTCTCCTAAATCAGTATGAATTAAACTTAATAATTCAGATTCTCTAAAAACTGAAGCACATGATTTCTTAGTTTGTTTAGCTTCTGCACAAACTCACAATTATCAATATTTGAAATAAGATATTCAGAATGCATTTTCTTAATATAAGATAAACTAACATGTCCTAATCTAGCATGCCATAAATTAAAAGAATCAATCAAGTAAGCAGAAGTACTAGCATTTTCATTGATAACATTGAGTACAAACAAGTCATGATTATAATAACCCTTGCCAACAAAATTATTATTTTTGGTCAACACGACCTTATCAGATTCAAAAGAAATCTTCACCCCCACTTTTCCTAATAATCCCACAAAGACCAAATTGGCTCGGATACTAGGGACATGCAACACGTCATTCAATGCCAAAGTTTTGCCAGATGTGAGTTTGAGAAGAACTTTACCTTTTCCAAGAATTTGAGTAGTTCTTGAGTCACCAAGATAGACAACTTCTTCTCCCTCCTCAACTTGGGTGTAAGACACAAAGTCTTTTTTGTTAGCACATATGTGCCTAGTGGCTCCAGAATTTAACACCCAATCTTTCACATTGGCCACAAGATTCACTTGGGAAACAAACACAATAATTATATCATCCACTTTGGCTTCAGTCAAATTTACTTTAGCCTTAGTGGGATTGTCATTCCGACCTCTTTTTCTATGTTATTTGAATCATCTAAAACATGTTCACTTATAAGCTTAATATATTTCCCTCTTCATGAGATTTATTGATAGTTATAGGTTCTCGATAATTCCATTAATGAATCTGTTCCATACTAAGTTTAGTTTTGGTTTAGGATTAGTCTAGGTTTTCAAACGCTTGATACTCTAGATTTAATTGCACTATCTTATTTCTGCTTGACAGTCGATCTAGATTCTAATTCTTTTGCCTTATCTTTGTTTTCCATGATTTGTAAATCGTTAGAGACTTGTAGGGGTTTAATTAAACTAAAAAGAAACTTAGGAGGGCCTCAGAAGTTTTAGAAAAGAAAATATCTAGAAGGGGAAACATCNCGTTTCTTATAAGGAATTCTATTTTGTAAATGACAAGCAGATAAAATGGCTTCACCCCAAAGATTATCCGGAGCATCAGAACTAACAAGCATGCTATTCATCATTTCCTTTAAAGTCCTATTTTTTCTTTCCGCTACACCATTTGATTGTGGAGAATATGGCGGAGTTATCTCGTGAATTATGTATTCTTTCTCACAATAATCATTCAACAAAATAAATTCACCCCCTCTATCAGATCTAACTCTTTTGATTTTCTTATCCAATTGATTTTCTACTTCAGATTTATAAATTAAAAACTTATCAAAAGCTTCATCTTTATTTCTCAACAAATAAACTTTTGTATATCTAGAAAAATCGTCTATAAAAGTCACATAATATTTTTTCCCTCCTCTAGTCATAATTTGTTTCAAGTCTCCTAAATCAGTATGAATTAAACTTAATAATTCAGATTCTCTAAAAACTGAAGCACATGATTTCTTAGTTTGTTTAGCTTCTGCACAAACTCACAATTATCAATATTTGAAATAAGATATTCAGAATGCATTTTCTTAATATAAGATAAACTAACATGTCCTAATCTAGCATGCCATAAATTAAAAGAATCAATCAAGTAAGCAGAAGTACTAGCATTTTCATTGATAACATTGAGTACAAACAAGTCATGATTATAATAACCCTTGCCAACAAAATTATTATTTTTGGTCAACACGACCTTATCAGATTCAAAAGAAATCTTCACCCCCACTTTTCCTAATAATCCCACAAAGACCAAATTGGCTCGGATACTAGGGACATGCAACACGTCATTCAATGCCAAAGTTTTGCCAGATGTGAGTTTGAGAAGAACTTTACCTTTTCCAAGAATTTGAGTAGTTCTTGAGTCACCAAGATAGACAACTTCTTCTCCCTCCTCAACTTGGGTGTAAGACACAAAGTCTTTTTTGTTAGCACATATGTGCCTAGTGGCTCCAGAATTTAACACCCAATCTTTCACATTGGCCACAAGATTCACTTGGGAAACAAACACAATAATTATATCATCCACTTTGGCTTCAGTCAAATTTACTTTAGCCTTAGTGGGATTGTCATTCCGACCTCTTTTTCGTCATTGAGCAACATAGCGGCTAGGTGTGACACACACAAAGTAGTTGCCTTTTTCCTTGAAGGTTTGATTGTTGGTTTTGGGCTTACAACCATTTATTTTATCATACCTGTTACTTGATTTTCTCTGACGGTTGTTCTCCTCAACAAGGCTGCTTCTAATAGCAATTTCTTTTCCTTTGTCAACAACTCCACCAAAAACAGCAACAGAAACAGTTGGTGCAGCAGGAGTAGTAGCATCAACAACAACATTAGCAGCGTTATTCTCCATAATAACAACGTAAAATATCCTTAAGATTGTTGGAAAAATTGGATGATTATGGAGAATAAAAGGTTTAGCTTGAGGCGTGTCAAAGACACTGTCCTTAAGGATATTTCGCCCACACAGAAATGAATAATATTAAGCGTATCCCCCAGGATTCAACAAGCTCTTCTAGTATAACTAGGAGCAGAAACAACAAAGATTGTATAAAAGAAAACCCAGCACAAGAGGAAAAAAGGAGAAGAAAAGTTTTATTTTTTCCACACTATCACATAATCAACACAAGAAAATATCTATATATATAGTCCAAAAATAAAATGGATATCTGATGTAAAAAACGTTAAAATTCATTTAGTATTCAAATGTCAAAACATTAAATCATTTAAGTTACAGATTCCATAACTTAATCACTAAAAGCTATTAACGTAAAATTCATTTAAAGCCAATAGAAATGGTATCTAAATTAATGATAGGAAACGGTCATCCAAGNAAAAATAATTGATTTTGATAGTCATTTAATGTTAATAAAATAGTATATTTAAATTGATTGGTCATATAAAGACCCATTAAAAGAATGAACCTAGACATCAATTTAAATATTCTTTTTGAGATATTAAAAATTATTATTTTTTAACAATATCTTGGTAAATGATAGATTTCTCAAAGAAGAATTGGTTTGACAGTGTGAGTTGAGAATTTAGCCGCCGGACTATGTGTTTGGGTAATGTATGTCTCATATTTTTAAGAAACCCGATAAATCGAATCAATAAAAAACCTACTTAATTGGTTTGGCTTGGTTCTAATATTTGAAAAATCGACTTACTTGGTTTGATTTCTTTGTTGGAAAAAAGTAGATCCAAACTGAACCATGAACACTCCTAATAACAACTCCCTAAGAAAAAAATGAATATAATTCATAATGTTTTGTGCAAACATACAGTCTAAATAACACAAAAAAAAGGAGTAACGTGTAATTACATAAAAATACTGTGTGTATAACTTAAATCATTTTCATTAAACAATTAACTTAAATCATTTACAAATAATTTGTCACCATTTTTTTGGGGGAAAAGTTCCAAAATTGCTCCTCTAATATGGTATATTGTTTACTTCTGCCATCCGTTATACTTTTCGTCCAAATCTATCCATACCGTTAATAAAGTTTGCAAAATTGCTCCTAAACCTAACGTCTCTCTACTGTGGCAGCTTACCCCCTCAATTTTCTCTATGTGAGCTGCCAAGTCACTCGACCCCACCAAATAAAATGCCAAGGTGGAGTTCGTATCACCACTTTTAATAATATCTTTGTTATTGTATTTATTAAATTAGAAAATTTAAAAAGAAACTTCTCACATATAACCTAGTTTTGGTTTTTAACTCACGTACTCCCTGTCTCCTTTAGCAGTTGTCAGTGACGGCGAGATCAACCGACGAGCTAACCTCTAGATCAGATATATGTATATAACTCTCTCCCTCTTTCTCCACCCTCATCTCTCTCCTATTGTATCCGCTTGTAACATACCGGAAAACACCTACCACCACCATAAACTAGATTTGTTCGAACACCATCGAAAGCCTCCAGACCCAAAAACTCTTTGAAGAACATGATTCACCTTTCTTGCCTACCCAAATTTGTATCCTAATTGAAAAATATTGAAATGCCAGTGAGCAGCATTGGCCTAAAACATGGCACTCGAAAAAACACACATACATAGATCTGTACCAAAATAAGAAAAATGGGTAGAAGCAACTCCACCACCAGTGTCTTGCCGGAAGTTACTTCGGCGTTTGTCGTCGTAGGTAGCAACGTCAAAAAGTGTACATAACAGAAAAAATACAAAGGCAAAAAGATATGAGAATTCTTCTGCTTCGCGGTTGTTCTTCGATGTCTTAGCTGAGATAGAGAGAGAGGGAGAACAAGATGATGATATTTTAATAAGAAAATGGGTGGGTTAATTAGTGGGACCTGCTGACTTGGCTGCTGACATGAATAAAATATTAGAGGGATTGAGTGCCACAATGGAGGGACGCTAGGGTTAGGGGTAATTTTGCAAACTTTATTAACGATAGGGATAGATTTAGACGAAAAGTATAACGGATGACAGAAGTAAATAATATAGATAGTAGAGGGGCAATTTTGCACCTTTTCCTTCTTTTTTTTTTTTTTTTTTTTTTTTTTTTTTTTTTTTTGTATAAACTTCAAAGATTGCGTTGAGCTGGTAAAGGAGGGAGTATTCACCGATACAACTTGGAACTTTTCACTATAACTTTCATCTTCCAGCTCGCCCAGCACTTCACAGAGAGACTGAGGCCAGAAATGGAATTTCGTCCGTCGTCGTGGCGATCTCGGAAACCGCCGCCGCCGGCGAAACAATCAGACATTTACTCCACCGTCGTCATCCACGACAATGACCGGAAAACCGAGGAAAAAGTAGACAATTCATCAGACCTCTACGCCACTATGGTTTGCAAAGACGACGACGTTGTAATAGATGACCTAAACGATGACGAATCACTTCCTCCTTTACTCAAACGCCTCCCTAAGGACTTCGGCGGCGGCTCCGACGATGACGTGGCATCAATCTCCGGCACGATGATTGTGAAAACCGATCGAAGTTCAAAATTCACCACTCCTAAACAACATCAACCGCAGCAGCACACTGCTCGTTACATGTCGTATTGGGATCGAGATGAAAAAAGTCCTAGGAGAGCGAGATACGAGGATGATGATGATGATGATGATGAAGATGAGGATGATGAGGATGAGGAAGGTAAATTTTCGACGTTTGTAGTGAAGGATAATGATGAGTCCGATTCGGGGACGATGGTGAGGAGAACAGTTAAAAGTGAAGGTGTGGGATCAACTATGAGTAGAGCAGTGGCTAGTATGCAAGCAGTAGGTGAGATTGGAGGGATTGGGAGACAAAGGAATCGTGCTGCGTCTGAGGAGGAAGGGAGTGGTGGTGGTACTACATTGAGGCCACAGGGGAGTAAAGTGTCCTCGAGTTCAATACCGGATAGTGTGACTAGGGAAGATCCTTCAACTAAGTATGAATTGCTCCACGAGCTTGGTAAAGTTTTAGTTTCCTTGTTTATTTGCTTTAGATGATTTCAATAGTGGAATTTATTCTGTTAATGTTTACTCAATCACTAGTTATAGCTAAAGGAGGAGCCAGAAATTCATACAAGGGAATGCACCCCTGTGGGGCCTATTGGCCAGTGAAGTTAGGTGGAGAACCCCAGCGAAAAAATACTGATCTTTGCCCATCCACCTTAGCCTTGGTGGGCAGAGTTACTGGTACCCGTGCTGGTAGGAAGTAGCAAGTATCCAGTGGAGTAATCAAGGTGCACGCAAGTTGGCCCGGACACCACTCTTTAAAAAGAAAAATTCATGCAAGGGGATTTTGAAGAAACACTTAAAGAGTGTCACACGTAGGATTTGAACCTGTTATCTTTAGCAATTTCTGAACGCCCTTGCCACTACACTAGAATAGGGATTCAAGAGCTCATATATAACCTAATCTTTCTCCCCCCAATTTCTGCAGTATAATTTTTCGATGAAGAAGATTTAATTGAACCTCCTGCCTCCCTTTAGCTCTGCCGTAGTTATAGTATTGAGCATTGGAATGAAACAGGTGCAAATAGAGTAGAATGGATGCCAATTGTTCATATAGCTGAGACTAACTTGTTTGGTACCGATGCATAGATGTAGTAGTAGTTGTTATTGTTCATAGTTGGCACATGGAGATAACGAGTATTTATGTATTGAGCATTCTTATGAGATCAGGTTATTGAGCAGAGCTTTGTAGTAGTTTTGCACTTGATGCAACGTTTTCTCTTTATTAAGAAAGGTCAGAAAATTGTATAATGTTGACTTGTTTTGAGCACTTTTAATAATCTAGACTGTGAACATACTCCTAAAAGAAGTCCTACAAATTGTGAGCGCGATTTTGTCTTATCTTATGAATGAGTATGATAATGGTTTTGCTGTATAAGGTGCAACATTGACTATAAATATTAGAAGAAATTGGATTTTGGTGCTAATCTGTGCGATTGGATAACAATGATGGTGCATTTTACTTTTTCCTTATATCTAACCATAATGTTTATTGACATGTGATAAGAAGTGGCTGAAAGTGGAGGGCTTTGATACTCGCAGGGAAAGGTTCATATGGGGCTGTCTATAAAGCTCGAGACTTGAGGACATCAGAGATGGTTGCCATCAAAGTCATATCATTATCTGAAGGGGTATGCTTGCTTTGTGCTCTAGACTCTAATATTAGCTTATCTCGAGTGTTCTTTTGTGTCTCTCTGTATAATTATAGATATATTTGCTTTCTTTAGGAGGAAGGCTATGAGGAAATTCGAGGTGAAATTGAGATGTTGCAGCAGTGCAGTCATCCAAATGTTGTCCGCTATCTTGGTAGCTACCAAGGAGAAGAGTACCTTTGGGTATGGAAGGGTCATCATTTTTCTGGACTTCTAAATTAAATCATGCTCTGTCTGATTTGTTGGATAAATGTTTCCATATCCATTTCTTCCCTTTATAATCTCTGCAACCTATACTATTAGCTTTCCAGTTGATTGAATTTATGAGGAATATTAATTTGTTGGCAGATAGTAATGGAGTATTGTGGAGGTGGAAGTGTTGCTGACTTAATGAATGTCACAGATGAAGCTTTAGAGGAGTATCAAATAGCATTTATTTGTCGAGAGGCATTGAAGGTATGCTTTATTTTCCTTTTTGAAAAGGTAAATAAATTTCATCAGTGTCCTCATAAAAAAAAAATCGATAATGTTTGAACCAAAACCGAAAGCGCCCGTATACAAGTAGTATACCAAAAGCTATGCTTGATTTAAAATATTGTTTTAGGGTTTGAACGTAAGTGCATATGTAGCCTTATATATATATTGAGAAATATGTAGCCTTATATTTTGTTGGCATGTAAAGCTTTCTAGAATGTTATTATATGATACTTCGAATACAAGGTCATGCACCTGACCTTTTCTCGAGGGGTTCTTTTCCCCTTTATTCTATTCAAATTTAGAGGGTTGCAGAAGTTAGCGTAGTTGGTTTATGTAATCCTCCACTTAACTTCTTCTTTATGGTTGCTACTAGAGATAATACTGTGAATGCTCCCTTCTTTTTATGAAGTAATAGTATAAATGCTCATTTTCCGTTCTATTTTGCTTCTCCTTAGTTCTTTCAATTTAGCTCCCATCTAAAATATAGTTAAAGCAAAATAACTCTTTTTTGTTTTTTTGAAAACGGTGAAGTTTACAAGCGTACAAACTCTGTGCTTATCCATTAAGTCCTTAGGCCATGACTCATGACTACCCCCTTAGACTTGTTACGTTCCTCCTACGTTTGTGACTCATAACCTGTGATACTACTAGAGGATGTTGTAAGACAAGGGCTTTCTTTGAGACTTTCCTCTACCTTAGTTGTGTAGATAAAAGTTACTCTTCTTCGAAAATATATTACCTTTTCAAGTTTAGCCTAAATGCCTAATTGTGTATACAAACATTGCCTTAAATACTTATAAAACATAGCTAGAATACGGCTTCTCCCTTTCTTTTGCATATGCTACCCCAAATAATCAATTCCTTGGAAGCAAACAATTCTGGGTGACCCTATATTGTCGTACTACACATTTAGAGCTTGGTGCTACCAGCGAAGCAATATTCTAGCTCTAAGTCAGCCTCATTTCCAGTGCTTTTAAAAGGGAAAAACGTGATGTTGAAGTGCACTACTAAGAGAAACTTAAATATGCCAAAAATATATGATTTTAGTACTATCATAATCAAATTCCAATCAAAGTAACTTATTTCAAAGTTTCAGAGTTCAACAACAACAATATACCCAGTATTATCCCACACCGTGAGGTCTGGGGAGAGTAGTGTGTATGCAGATCTTACCCCCCTACCTTGTGAGGATAGAGATGCTGTTTAAATTTTCAGAGTTCAATATACAATAATTATGATATTAATACAACTCCTCAAAGTCGAGCTTCAAAGAACCAAGCGCTTTCGATTGGATCTTCTTATGTGTCATTGTTTGAAGCACACTCCTCTGTGGTGCATATCTTTACCCATGAATCGATAACCCTTTGCTATGCTTTGCTTCATAGACAAGATATTTGTTCCCATATTGAATCATTTTGAACTCGTGTTTCTGTCAATGTGAAATTATGAATGATTTGAGAACAATATATTATATTATATTACAGGAAGGTGTGGAGGTCGAGAATTAAGGTAGAAGGTTAGTAGGTAGTCGAGCGTGTTTCTTTTCCATACCAATAGTATTAGATATTAGTGTTAGTGTTGTATTCTATTATTGTTAGATTTCTAGTATTACACGTTGTTTCTTTCTCCTCGTTTTCTTATTATCTTGTTATTGTTACTGCTTGTTGCTACTGCTTTATTTTGCTCTTTCCTTGAGCCGAGGGTCTATCGGAAAACACCTCTCTACCTTTTCTTTTTTTGGGGTAAAGGTCTGCGTACACATTGCCCTCCTCATACCCCAGTTGTGGGATTATACTGGGTTTGTTGTTATATTATATTATATCATGTCAAAACTACTTAAATTGCCCTCTTTCAATATTTGCATCTGAACTAATGTTAGATGTAATGTAGGGCCTCTCCTATCTGCACTCTATTTTTAAAGTGCACAGAGATATTAAAGGTGGCAATATCTTGCTGACTGATCAAGGAGAGGTTAAGTTAGGTGAGTGCTTTCTTTATCTCTTTAACGTCTATTAATTTTGAATTGTTTTATATTAATTATTTATTATATTACATCTTCAAATTGTGGTTATTCAGAAAATTGAATGAAAAATGTTCTTATATAAGAATTTCAACTAATTAGATGTTGCTTTAGGTTGGATGTCATGTTTCCATGCAAATTATGCTCTTTGCAGATAGCCATATGTTAGAATACTTCTGTTAGATACATTACATACCCTGTACTGTTTTAAATTCTTATTGCCTACAATTTAAATTTACTTCATCATTGCTAAATCAAATTACAACTGATCAGAATCTTGTTTAATCCCCCCAATAAAGGAATTAGAATCTTGTTAGCTAGTTTTGAAGGGAAATCTTTTTGGATTTTACACAATCTGGAAAGCTGGACTAACTTTTCTCTATATGAGCAGGTGATTTTGGTGTTGCTGCGCAGCTGACTAGAACCATGTCGAAACGTAACACAGTATGTATTATGCCTTTACCCTCATTTTATTCGCAGTACTGCAGTGAAAGTTTTGCAATCATTTATTGTCAGAGCGTGCTTTGTGGTGAAGCAGAAAAACAAAAATATAAACAAGAAAACAAGAAGCTGTTGCTCTACAGATGATGGCTAATTGATGTTCCATGTCCTCCACTAATTTTAAAGAATCCATCATGTATATTCCTTTTCTGCTTTTATTGATTTGGCTTGACATCACTCGCTAATACCTTCTGACTTAGCTGTATGGCACTACCCTCCCCAGACCCCACTTGTGGGATTCCGCTTGGTTTGTTGTTGTTGTTGTATGCTGCTCAACCTGCCAAGTAGTTTCTGACCTGTTTCTTTATCTGCTAAAGTTCCTGATGTTAGTACATTTATTTTCAGTTTATTGGCACTCCCCATTGGATGGCACCAGAAGTTATTCAAGAAAGTCGTTATGATGGAAAGGTATCACGTCTACTCCGTTTTCCATCTTTTCAAGGCGGTGCTTACTGGAGTTTATCTGAATCCCAATAACTTGTGTGAACTATCTTGGCTTTGTGCAAAATCATTCTTTTTAGTTTTCTGATTATTATTTGATATTCACCAGGTAGATGTATGGGCTCTCGGAGTGTCTGCTATTGAAATGGCCGAGGTACATCTAGTTGAATCTCTGAACTGCCTTTTCTTTTTGATAAATTTTCTTATTTGTCTGCAATTGCATCCGAAACATAGCACTATGTTCTATGTGTTCATGTTGAACTTTTGTTTGTATCGTTAATGTCCCCTGTGTTAAATTTAATAATTTGTTTTTAAATTTAAACAATGTGAAGAATGAAGCAAGTTTTTTTTTTTTGGCTGACAACTTGATCTTCCAATGTGTAAGGTCATTTGATTGTTGTAGTAGTTTGCTGCTAAATTATTTGTATCTAAGATACTTCCTAATGAGGCAGTTTTGTCTATTGTTATGATATTGCTGGAGCTGAACTTTCTTTCTTTTTCCGTTTTTCAGGGTCTTCCTCCGAGGGCAACAGTGCATCCAATGAGGGTTAGTCCTTTAATTTAACTAATTTACATTAGGTGACATGCATTGCATGTTGTCTCATGTTGATAGACTTCACTTCGTAAAATATTGACATGATGATTGATGGTATCTGATATCTCAACTTCAAATTGCTCCCTGACGCTAGATGTTTGCTAAATCCTTTTAGCTGGATTTATTTTTCCCGTGTAATAGCTCTGATCATTTTTTGGATTTTGTCAGCTCCCTAGACATACTCTGATCTCTCTTTTGTACTTGGGATGACTTAATCTTTCTTTTGTAACCTTTGCATCTACGTGATGCTTTTTAATGATATCATCTTACTTCATAAACAACTAACTGACATGACGATGAAAGTTGATCTATATTGTTGATTCTGCCAGTGCATTGATGTTTTCTAATGTTATGCAGCATGGTTTTTGGATGAAACTGAGCCTGGCAACACAATACGTTGTCTTCCTTTTGTGGATTATCCTGCCACTAAACATACTGAATAAAATGCAAATGCCTCTTTTAACATCATAAATGATTCAAGGCCGTGAGATGTCAAAGAAATAAGTTTCCAATAGACTGAGACCTTTTATTTGATCAAGTAGGCTGAGGCGTGGTCTGTCCACCTTCCCCAGTGAGCTCTCCTCCTCTGTTTGGTCAGTGTCTTACCTAGAGTATAGCTCTTTGTTCACTTATGAGTTATTAACATTTCCCATCAAGAAAAAAAAAGGTTATCACATATCACGGGTCTTTCAAATCTGTGAGTATAGCCACTTACGTGATTGCTATTTGGGCCGTATTTAGAGTATATGATCTTTTGAAGAGTGCTTTCGGAGATGATATTTTAACTACCGCTAGGTATCATGATGGGGTGCTGGTGGTAGCTTTGAACCGTTTGCTTTGTGCTGACATCTGACGTCAGTGACATAGGTAGTCTAAGGACGCACATCATTTTTCTTCCACCTGGTGTGCTTCCTTCTTTTGCTTTCTAATAATCATTTCCTTTTTTTGCTTCCTCAATTCTCTTTTTGTGGGGATAATTTTCATCCTGTGCCTCCTTTATTTTGAGTTATAGTTTATTTTTCTCTTATTTTTTTCCCTTTCCACTATGGCGGTGGTTCCTAGAGGGTGGTGTAGGTGAAGAGTAAATAAATGGACATTTGACAAGAAAGATGAAATACGTTTATATAATTCATTTCGTAGTTTTGTATTAATTAATGAAACCTTATTCTTTTTCTGCACATGTTTGGAACAGATATGATGACTGGCTGCTCTTTGTAGAAATTTATGTTTTTAAATATAAGTTTACATATCTGTTACGCAGGAATTCCATTGTTAGATCAATAAACTAGTAACATCATCAAAAAAAATTATGTATTGGTGATCAATATCAAAACATTTCAAGAATGCTGCTTCAAGTGCAGAAGTTTGATCAAACATTATAACAATAAAAAAAAAAAAGTTTAATCAGACATTATATCTGCTTGAGTATATTGACAATGGGAATATAATCCATCTACCAGGGATGAATGCTTATAGATTGAGTTGCTAGAGCTTTGGCATGCTTTATAATTTGGAATCTCCTCTGGACTCCTTAAGTGAAACTACATCTTCAGAAAGTTGATATATCTGTAACTTTTTGATAGGTGCTATTTATGATATCCATTGAACCAGCTCCAATGCTTGAGGACAAAGAGAAATGGTTTGACCTCTATTCTTTATGTTGGTTTCTATTCAGCTGTTTTTTGGTTTATATCCACTCTCCTTTTGAGCAACAATTCATTTAAAACTCTTTATTCCTATCAGTTGCAAGACTTAGAGCAACTTGTTTTATATATGGATCAATCAACTATGCATCAATGTATCCATCCCGCTCTATTTAGGTCCATTTCATTCTCATTTTAAATAATTTGCGGTTATATTGGAAGTTAGGAATACTTTAAGACTAAGGTTCTTTAACATCTCACATTTTTCCCTACATGGATATACAAATTTCTAAAACCCGTTTTGAAAAAATTTCTAATATATAGGTAAGTGTAATAACTACAACTAAGCCTGATGGACTTATGATATAGTCTATATGGTTGCTCTATATGGTTGCTTTGCTTCCATTGTGTTATGTTCGTAGCTAAGTTTGCGTTGTTTCAAAGAGTTTGTAAGTTTTTCGAGACAACTTCCCTTTCTATGATTTTACGTCTGCTTCGTCTTTTTGTCACCATTTGTCATAGTACTATCGTAGTATAGCTATAGATAGGTGCATATGGAGGTCTACCTAGGACATGGTCAAACCATCTCAGGCGACCTTCTCTCTTTTTATCAATTATATGTGCTACTTGCACTTTTAAATATTAATATGGTCATTTTTAATCTATGTTGCTTGGACTCTTCGAAAATGTCGCCGGGTGTGTGTCGGATTCTCCAAAAGTAGTGCATTTTTGGAGGATCCGACACGTGTGCAACAACATATTGGAGAGTTCGCGTAACATAGTTTTTAATCTTGTCAAACTAAAATCTCGTATGACCACGAATCCATCTTAATATCCGTACTTCTTCGACATCTGTTTTATGGATATGTTGGGTGTTAGAATGTTAGAGATCTAACATCCTCTTCTATATAACATTGCTGAGCTTTATAACTTGCATTTGCACTTAGTTAGATATCTTTCTTTCACGTAATATTTCTGTTGTACTTCTACCGAAAAAGAAAAAGAAAAGAAAACACACCTGTCGTACTCCATTTCAACAATCTTATTCTAATTTATGAGTTATATCTTCTGTCTGTCATCATGCCATTCTCTTAAAGAGTGAGTCTTGTCTCGCATCAGTGGCATTCTCCTTGTGGGTCTAGCTCTGCCTATTTGAGCTTTGTAAAGCATATCTGATTCCAAACTGATAAAATAGGATGGTCTGGGTAGGTTAACAGCCAATGTGCATTTGTATATATGTCCAAAAATGTGTAATGACTTCTCTTCACTAAATAAAACTTATGCATTGATAATTCCCTCTTCCTGTTCCTAGTTTCCAAATACCATCTTCAGCATTGCTAGCCCATGTAATGTTTATAGACATGTAACTTGGGCATGGGCTGCATCTTTGTAGATTAATTGCTGACCTGAAAATTTGAGCAAAAGTGATTGGTCTGCTTCAGTTTCGCTTTGTTTTGTGTTTTATATCCTTGTCAATTACTTCCCTTCTAATACATGTTGTAGTTGTGATTCTGGAATGTGGTGAAATATGTTCAAGCAAAAATTAACCACAACTACCCTTTTTGGAATCAAAATATCACTTTGCTGCCGATTAGTGTAAATTCAAGCCTTTAAAGTCTTGAAGATGTGCTAGTTGCACATTTTGTAAAATAATGAGGTTGTGCCACATGACAAGCATAATAATTACTTGTGTCCAGCTAGTCAAGTTAAACTTTAGCAATTATGCACAGACCACTTATCTTATGGTTTATACTAATATTCAGAATAGAAACTAGTGGATGCAAATATTGCTCATTAAATTTTTTTGCTTTGGATTGCCATTTGGATAACAATTTCGTACATTTTAAGTCAATTGCTCGTTTCTTAATAGTTATCAAGTCTCAATCACGCCATCTTTAAATTTACGCACCAAACACTGACAGGTTGATATTCAGGAAATAACTTCAAACTTCTCAACCTATCTAAACAAAAACATATTGTTAAGTTCATGTTTCTTTTGCAGCTGAGATGCTCTTCTATGTATTGGCTTATTATTTGCATCAGTCAAAATTCTGGAATTGCTTTGACTGGCTATACTACTGTTGATAACCAAGAAATTCCCTAGGGTCAGATGCCGCGCGATTCTAAATCGATAGACAATGGATATGCCCCTCTACCCTTCTCCACTTGAAGACTAAGCTTTAGGCAGCATTCGAACTCGTGACGTTCGCCTAACCATGCGTCAAGTGCTTTGCTCTTACAACTGAACCGGCCTTGGGAGCAAATTTGACTGGCTGTACTTGTCACTGTGTAGCTCTTCTCATTCCATTAGAGTTCAATTATGCATAGTGATTAGGAAATTAAAAAGCTCTTAAGTTTCTGTCAAAAGGAGACGAATATAGAACTTTGAGCTCTTAACCGAGTATCCATGCTACGCTTTTTCTGCTTTACTGTGAGCATTTAAAGCGTACATGCATAATATGCTGTATCTCGTTTACTGTGAGCATTTAAAGCTTACATGCATGATATGTTGTAATGTCTCGACTTCGATAGAAGAAGTGAAGCACAGGTCTCCGTTTAATCCTCTTCTAAAGTGCCTTATAATAGGTTCAGAAAATCAGTTTATCTTTGTTTAATTCTAAGGAAAGCATCGGAAAGTATGACCACATGGAAATGCCCTCTGGATTGGAAAAGGACAGTAGATCCTTGTACCTCTGGTCCATGTGCCCTCGTGGCTCGTGCTTCAGAAATCTAAGTTTCTTTTGTAGTTTTCCTTGCTTCTTTGCGGTAAAAAACTAATGGTTTTTTGGGAATATGGTTCCTGTAGACCTGCAACTCAGATTGTGAGTGCTGATAGATGAAATTTCTTTTCTTTTTGTTTGCTAAATCATATTTTTTTTGTTTTCCTGCTGAAGAATATTTTGCCACCCATGTAACCTCTCCTTCTTGAATGAAATTTCTTTTTCAGTATCATAAAATCATGGCCAAGATTCTAGTTGCCATCCTTCTGTTCCTTCCTCTTCATAGAGAATTACCTCATTTAGTTATCTATTTAGGAATTGGAAATGGATTGTTGATTATTTCAGGTCTCTTGTATTCCATGATTTTGTTGCCAAGTGCCTTACAAAAGACCCGCGACTTCGTCCAACTGCCTCAGAGATGCTAAAGGTATTTGTATAAGTGTACTGTCACTTGGCAAATTATTTTGTTTGTTTAGCTCGTGAGCCGTGTGGTCTTTGCCGTATACTAATTTTTCTTCCATTTACATTGAAAAGCATAAATTCATCGAAAAATCCAAAGCTGGAGCTTCTGTAATGATGCCGAAGATTGAGAAAGCAAAGCAAGTTCGGGCATCAATGGCCTTGGAAGCGGAAAAGATTGCTTCAGAGACTCCTTCACAACGAGACGATGTACGCCTGATTAATTTACATCCCTTTTTATGAACTTCCTTTGGTGTTTCCTTATTGAGAATGGAGGGAACCCCCGCCAAACCCCCCAAGAAAGTGAGATTCTGTTTCTCAAAGCCTTATTCTCCAACTTCAGGTCATGGGAGGTCCAAAAGTGAATGATGAATTTGGGGATACTGTTCCCTCTAAGCCTAAAAATGATGATGCACCTTCTACAAGCTTGGAGCCTGTTGGAGAAGGTAACCTACAGTTTCATCTTGCATTGTGTATTTGACTGGGATTCTCTAGGAGCTTCTGTTCGTTGCGAGAGAGAAAGCAAGATACAATTGATAACAAGTTGTATCTGAACATATCCTGGAAGTTGAATTATCTTATTTTTATGGAGAATTTGAAGAAGAATAAATCAAACATATTATACATCTCATTCTTTGGTTCTCACCGCCAAACTATTATTTTGATCTCTGATTTTGTTGTCTGCCAAACATAAAAATGCAAGACTATTTTTTGATATTTTATCAGATAACTCATTATAAAACATGTGATTTTATAACTGTCTATGACACAGATTGTTGTCTAGTTTAATCGAATCTAAAAGCTGTTCCGTTTTTCTCAGTGCCATGTTACCTTCACGCTCAGCTCAAAATTACCCCCATCCACTGTGTTTTGAGACCCTCCACAGTTACTTAACCCCCTTCTCCCAATTGAAGAAGTTCTATCGCCGAATATTTAACCAATATTATAACTACTGACGTCATCCCGAAAGACATGATTCATTTTTTGGCTCGTCCCAGAAGACTTTACTCAGTTTCTTAAATGGCAGCTTTCTTTCCTTCCAACAATTCAAACTACCTACTTTGTACTTTCAGGCTTTAATTCTGACGTATCTCTACTTAACTCGTATAGTACAGTATTGGAATATCATATCTCTATGCTTGTCAAGGGAGTCATCTTAATTCAGACAATTGGGAGTTAGTTTGAAAGATTCAGATATCATTTGCAGATCAATGATCTCAGTGGAACATGGTGACTGGCAAATCCTGTATTTTTTTCTTAGGGCTTGCTATGTAACATTGGTGAAACTATTGAACTCTATTTCTGAAAATATTAACTAAAATATGCCAATTCGTCCTGAATGATGAAAGTTTATTTGAAGAGTAAGTAGTCTGAACATATCTGTTGGATCTGGTTTGCCAGGTGATTTTGGGACTATGATAGTCCGAGATGGAACTGATGTGGATAAGACAGCTAGTCACATCAGAAATGCAGAAGCATCATCTACTCTCCAGCGTGCTGGAAGTCCTTCCATCCCCACTGTTGCTGGCAAATCAAATGTTCCCTGGTATTTTTTTCCCCTGTTAATCTGATTATTGACTTGCTTATTGCGAAGGTGAAACCTATTAAATCGGAAAAGTAATTCATCCTTGTCACTTAAATTCACTCTTAGAAACTTTTTTGCTGGGCATATCTTCTCACATAGGTGATCTTGGTACTAAATAGCAGACTGATAAGTTCTATTAAGAATCAACTTTATGTACAGTTTGATCTTGGCATTACTTTGAAGTTTGAACCGTGGATCTTGGTTCTCTTGGTTATGGCTGTCTTCTTTCTTTAACCTATACTACTAATAAAGCCCCACCTCTTAGAGTAACTAGCTTGGTCTCTAGGTGGCTATGTCGTTTCAACTGTTTATAAACCAGATTGCCCCCATGATCTTACTCCTAACTCCAAACTACGATCGACGGATCAACAGTAAAGTAAAAGCAAACTTGCAGACAGAGAGAGAAAAGAGAGTATCTTTTTAGTGGTAATGCATTCGTGTAGCCCATTTCTTAAAAAATGTACACTTCTTGTCAGGTTGCTCAATGACGTTGATGTCAGTTCACCCGTTGGAATGTCCCAGCTACAGAACATGCAAGTGTCTTCTCCTGGAACCTTCCCTTCTCCTGATCCGGGCCTAAAGGGAAGTACTACATCTCAAGCAACTTTTAGCAGTGGTGGCTATAATACTGGAACCTTAAAAAGCGAAACTGTCAGTCGGAAAGCATTGGACAAGGTACTCTAATTGCTCTGTCATGAAATCTGCAATGATGAAAGTGTGAAATCTCTTTCAATTTCTACCCTATCCCATAATGCGAGGAATGTGTTCTGTGCTATACCCTTAAGTTACCGAATTGTCAACTCAGGAAGTGGTTCAATTTCATGGAAAAACTATCTAAACCACCAGTAATCGGACTACAACAACAACAACAACAACAACAAACCAGTGAGTTCAAACAAGTGGGCAGTAATCGGACTAATTCTCCCAAAGCATCTACAGAAAATTCTGATCGACATATATATTCATCACAAGTGATCCTACATCTGGAGATTCTTTTTTTTTTTTCCTTTTATTTGAAAGTGGCAACAATATTAACATCTGTAGGTTCTTAATTACATAAGCAGAGAGAAAGACAAAGGATGAACTTAAAGCTACGAGTTTGAGGTTTCACACTTTAAGTTTTAGTTTGCACTGAAGTATTAGGCCATTTCCATTATTCGTTGAGCCATATCTCCTTAAAGTAACATGTTGCATCTGAAACACGTTCTTTACCTTCTCGAGCTCTGTCCAAGGAGTAAATTAATCATAGCTCTGTTATGCTGGGCTTACTTCTGAGGTTAGGCTTGTCGGTACTGTAAGTCACTGTGATTTTTCAAGATTTTCTTTCAATGTAGAAAGACATCCTCCCAATAGCTATATTCAGTGGCGGATCCAGAATTTTCACCAAGGGGTGTCAAAATACTAATAAATAGATACATCAAAAGGTCAAGGGGAGTCAACGTACCGTAAATCTACATAAAATAAAAAAATCTATCTAGCGACATAGTGTAATTTTCCGGCGAAGGGGTGTCGCTTGACACCCCTTGGTTCAATGTGGCTCCGCCACTGGCTATATTTCTAGCTTTGTGTTTATTTATATGCATATCTCTTGCAAAGTTGTCATGAGGTGAAACTACCTTTCCATTGACATTAACCACTACTTTGCCTTGTTATAAGATCTTGCTTCTGGCTGTCACTGCATTACTTTATTTTTCTTTGTTCGTGCTTGTTCAACGGGTGCAAGTATGATTCTGACTCCTGCTAATTTGTGCATGTACCAGCTTTGGTCCATATACTCGGCTGGTAACACGGTGCCAATCCCATTTCTGAGAGCAACCGACATATCACCAATAGCACTCTTGTCTGACGATGTGCTTGGGGACTGGCAAAGGGATAATAGTGGAAAGATTGCTGTAGAAGCAATGCAGGAACTATTCTCCGGTGATTCTCAATCCAAGAAGGGCCGAAGCAGACAAAATGAGGTCCTCTTTACCTCCTCACAAAGACCTTTATTCTGGGCCTTTCTTTTTACCTTCTAAAAAAAAGGACAGCCCGAGTATCCCGCGTTCTCGCAGTGTCCGGGGAAGGGCCGCAACCCAAGGGGTGTGATGTAGACAACCTACCCTAATGCAAGCACTAGTGGCTGCTTCCACGGCTCCTTTCTTTATAGCTTCTCTCCTTTTATAATCATTATTATTAGTTGATGGATTGCAGGTTCCCCTTCCTCCAAGCGTGTACCAGAGACTAACCTCGAGTCCTACACTGATGAATCTTGCTCAGGCCTTAGCATATCATAAGATGTATGATCATATCAACTCCCTATTTTCTTGATGAAGTCCATTTGACTCACTAGTCACTACTATATCTGTGTCCTTGGTTTTATTATAACTTGAGTATTAGTAATTTATTAATTTACTAGGAAAAAATGTCAAGACATGTGTTTCATCATTTTCTCTCCTTGGTTATGCCCTAATGAATCGATAATATCATTTTTTGAATGTAGGTGCTATGAAGAGATGCCTCTTCAGGAAATGCAAGCATCTCAGGAACAACAAACGATTCAGAACCTCTGTGATACACTCAGAACTATTTTACGATTGTAAATAATTCTTGTTCTTAGTTGAAACCGTAAGATTTTCTTCACCGTGTAAATGTAGTTATATGTGCATTTCTTATCTCCTAAATCTTGGGGTAGTTTTCTCTCTTCAGCTCCAGACCAAGCATGCATAAATGCTGCTTTCCTTTCATTTCTGTTTTGTTTTTTCTTTTTTTTTTTT